TCTTTCTACACGTTCACTATAAAGGCGATACTCATACAAATCCGTCTCAGTAGTTCACACAGTATTTCAGATTGTTTTCGTTCGGCTCGTCTACAACTGTGCGTTTTAACCTTTTTTCCCACTCCATATTTTCTATCTTTCCACTTACGTAAAATCGGCATCAACTTAACACGTGTCCAACGACCTTCATGATTTCTTCATCATCACATTTTATCATCTCTAATCTTCCCACCGATTCGATCAGCTTTAGCTAAAGAATTTCGTAAATATTTCAACTAAGCTTAGCCGTCAGGAAAGTGACCATCTCGTGGCTTTCTCAGCAACAGTGTTGGAGTAGGAAATTCCTGCTAGGAATATATGTTTGCTTTCCTCAGCTGCTGGGCTCGGGAGTTTTCTCACTGATTAAAGGAGTTTATATATGAATTAGTAGTAGTAGAAGTGTTTATAAACCACGAAGAATTTCTCGCGATCTTTTCAAGATTTTTTTGAAAAAATTTTCATGTGCATATTTTCCCACACTACTTAACGATCAATGCTCTGTAGTTATCATCATTTTAGTGTTTACTTTACTACTAGTAATAAACACTCGTTATGTCGTCCGCTGCCACCGATGCAAGGACTGCTGCTGCTGCTGTCAACGCCGCTGCGGTCACTCGTGACTACACCATTAACCCTAGAGTTGAGTACCAGACCATCACTGGTGTCGAGGTACGCTTTTGGGCCTGTTTTGAATCTTACCACCGTGAACCTCATGATTCCTCAGGGACCTCTGGTCATTCTTGACAATGTGAAGTTTCCCCAGTACAACGAAATTGTCAATCTCACTCTCGCCGACGGCTCCACCAGGCAGGGTCAGATTCTTGAAGTCAACGGCTCTAAAGCAGTCGTTCAGGTGAGTTTCAAATCTTCGCACTCACTCGTTTCACTGAATGCATTTCAGGTCTTCGAGGGCACCAGCGGCGTCGATAACAAGAACTGCTATATTGAGCTCACTGGTGACACACTCAAGATGCCAATGTCAGACGAGATCATGGGTCGGTCTTTCAACGGCTCTGGTCAGCCCATCGATAAAGGCCCCCAGGTCTTAGCTGAAGAGTATCTGCCTATCAATGGTTCTCCTATTAACCCCAAGTCTCGTCAGTACCCTAAGGAGATGATCCAGACTGGTCTATCTGCGTTGGATACGATGAACTCCGTGGTTCGTGGGCAGAAGTTGCCTTTATTCTCTGCTGCTGGTCTTCCTCATAACGAGATCGCCGCCCAGGTGTGTCGTCAGGCCCAGCTCGTCCAGGGTAAAGATATCCACGATCACTCCAAAGAGAATTTCTCCATCATTTTCGGCGCTATGGGCGCCAACATGGAAACTGCCAGATTTTTCCGTAACGATTTCGAAGAAAACGGCTCTATGGAGAACGTCGTCTTATTCATGAACCTGGCCAACGACCCCACCATCGAGCGAATCGTCACTCCCCGCTTCGTGCTCACCGCTGCCGAGTACTTCGCCTACGAGCGTGAACAGCACGTGTTTGTGATCTTGACTGATATGTCCTCTTATGCTGATGCTCTTCGTGAGGTCTCCGCTGCCCGCGAGGAAGTTCCCGGTCGTCGTGGTTACCCTGGTTACATGTAAGTTTGGGTTCTATTATAGCGCGCTTCGAAATGCAGAAAAACGTGGTCATACTACTCTGGAGAGTGTCTCAACTTATCGTTGTATTACTACTGATAAGCGTATTGCACGATCACTTCTAGGGGAGTACGTTTTTCAATATTATACATGACTTTAGATCTAATATTTAATAATGATGGAGTTAAATCGCCCGTCTTACGTGAAGTGGCGTAAAACTCTGTGAAAACGCGATATTCGTGATATTGAAATATATTTTTCATTAGTGTTTTTTCGCCATATCACTAGGGCGAAACTCCAATATATGTATCACATATATTTCTTCATAGACTGTTATAGATCTCATTTTTTGCCCTTACGAAGAGGTAGAGATTCCACAGCCTGCCTGGTTACAGCCTTGTCGATAGATGGTCTCGAGGATTTTCATACCATTTTTTGCCCCGCTTTTGATCCTGGTCGACCGTTGTTGCCAATTTGTCTCTATTTTCAGGTATACCGATCTCGCGACCATTTACGAGCGCGCCGGCCGTGTCGAGGGCCGCAACGGTTCTATCACGCAGTTTCCCATCCTGACAATGCCTAACGATGATATCACTCATCCCATCCCCGACCTCACAGGATACATCACTGAGGGCCAGGTCTTCGTTGATAGATCTTTGCACAACCGACAGGTGTACCCCCCGATCAACGTCTTGCCCTCTTTATCGCGTTTGATGAAGTCTGGTATTGGTCGTGGAATGACTCGTGAGGACCACCCCAGTGTGTCTGATCAGCTCTATGCTAACTACGCCGTTGGTGTCGATACTCGTGCTATGAAGGCTGTTGTTGGTGAGGAGGCTCTTAGTGAGGAAGATCACTTGTATTTGGAGTTCCTTGATAAGTTCGAGTCCAAGTTCTTGAGCCAGGGTCCGTATGAGAACCGTGATATTTTCCAGTCCCTGGATATCGCTTGGGAGCTCCTCCGTTTGTTCCCAGAGAGTATGCTGAAGAAGGTGCCTCAAAAGGTCAAGGACAAGTATTATCCTCGAGATCGTGAAGCTCAGAAGGCCGCCCAGGAGGCGAAGTAAAATGACAATTTCTGTTGCCATTCTGCCACACACCAGTTGTGTTTCACTGGAGTTTCACTCGTTTTACGCGAAGTGGCGTGAAACTCGGTGAAAAACGCGATATTCGCGGTGGTATGCAGTAGTCGTGGAATATGTTTTTCACTAGTGTTTTTCATATCACGGGTGAAACTCCATTGTCGGCTCCCGGGAAGGTGTAGCGATAAGTGTTTAAAAATGTCTAGATGATTCTCATTCGGTAAGGTCCTTGTAGCCTGAGAGATGATACTCCAGAGTGTTTCTTTGGAACGGTTGGTGGTTGCTGTAGTGTTAAAGTCGGTCTGCAAATATGGTCAAAAAACGAGCGTTACCAATACAATTTCACTTTGGCACTCTTGAGGAGGTGTTTTGACTACTAATAAGTCTGTGTTGGAAATTGAAGTTAGAGCAGAAAAGACAGTTCTGAGATAACAATTCTTATGTTCGCGACCATGTTGCATCGACGAAGTATAATTCAGAAAGATTCCTCATTTACTGTCATTCGTGAATCTACGTTCTCAGTACAGTGCCAATCTGTTATGCAAATTACTTTTTACTCATTTAGGGGAGTTTATCAATGAACTCGGCAGTGGATGATGAAACAGTTCTGCAACGTTGTCAATCGATTTTCATTACTAGTATCAATACGTCTCTCAAAGCTCTCCTGAATCGACAAGTTATCTTCATAAAGGCGACTTGTATAACGGTTGTATATTGGAGGTTTGCATATTTCTAGCCGGACTTCGAAACGGAGAGGAGATACATACAAGCTGTCGAACATATAGCATTTTGTTGGATATCATATTTCCACAAAAGCTCATAGGGAATTGATATATTCATCCATGCAGAAGACTCGGGGAAATTGATACACTCTTCACATCCCTGCAGTCATTTCAGATGGTACTAACTATCAAATTCTGTTTATATTTTTCTTCCCTACAAAGACACGATGGTTTTACAATGCTAACTGAGTGAGAACGATTTGGTTTCCGTTCACTTTTGATTGTTACTATACTATCAACTCAACTTTACTAGAGACAGATAACAAATAATGGAGAATTGATACTCCGTCAAAATGATCATCCACATGATAACTAACAGAATTGGTTTTTCTCTATCGTGCTACTAGCTGCATAACATTCATTGTAAATAAATTACTCAACGATTATCTCCTTCCCCTTCACACGAAGTAAACTGGCAGGACCCGACTCCGACACGCAAATGCCGATTTGCCCTTGCGCTTGGACACAGTTCATACCTTCCGGGCACTTCATGTCACCATCAGCCTGATCAAAGTCAATCACATGCGATCGATTACTCGAACTAGTCTCACCCTGCACAGAAGAGCGCAATGATCAGGCCTGGACGAGTGCACCGTCAACGCACATCGCGCAATGGCTTCCATTCCAGCCGGCGCAGGAGGACACGTGTCTCTCTCTCCACACGGAGGCGCGCACATCTTATACACATCTAACAATGTAGATATCGATAGACACCGGTACGTTGCAAACTCACGTCCACTGAGTTCAATTTCCCCTTGGAGGTCGCCCTTGTCACAGGGAGGGGGATGATAATGACCAGCGTTGGGTGAGACATTCGTTTTCATGTTCACCACGAAGTCCTCAGGAATAATCAAACTGGACGGCTGAAAGGAAAACACTCAACAACAAGATCTATAAAGTCCACTTCACCTCTTTGTCCGCAACACGATGATCGATGTCCTCGCGGAATTTAGGGTAACTCCCCTGTAGTAGAATACCACACTCGTCTGAAGAACACGCTCATGGCACGAAGGCTACCTCTGGACGAAACTCACCCTCCTCGGTTCCATCAGCTCTCTCCCTCTCCAAAAGAATATACCCCTCGTGGCCCCATTCGGCACCCCACGAGTTCTTCACTTTCCAATACCTAAAACTCAGCAAATCGTAAACACAACATATATGCAAAAAGCTCACTTCTTCCCATCCAGTTCACCATAGCCGACGAGGAGCACTCCATGATCGAGCGAATCGCCACACTCACCTGATCAAAACAAGGCCGAACAAAAAAATCAGTACTTATAGTCTAGCAGGGAAAGTTAACAACTTAATACCCATAAGTCTAGGGTTCAATTCGAGGCGAGTACACATCCAAAATCTGTTCTCGACACCGAGTTTGAATACTCCGTGTAAAAGTGACATGGCGATTCCTACCAGTGAGAACACCCTCGTGATAGAACTGGAAGTCGGGCATGTCGGCTTCAATAGCCACACTAACCGGGCCACTCTGGAGCGCTTCTTTCATAGCTTCTCCATCCTTAGAGTGCACGTCGACGAAACCAGTCACGTCATGAGGCTGTCACCAGTCGTGTCACCATTCACTCTTCAACTCACTACTTACATGTAGCCGAGCCTTTTCCTTGACAGTGGAGTTACGACAGGGTTCATCAATCGCCTCGTACGCATAATCCTCTTCAGTGCAGAGGCCATGTTGCATCACATACGCGAAGGCGTTGTCCATCAGTCCACCGTTACACCCCCTACAGTGAAAATGAACATATCTCAGCAAAAAAAATTTCACTTACATATTTCCTTCTTCAGAACTGCAGTCGACAAGTTGTTGCTCGGAGAACTCAACCAGTTCGTGCTTCGGATTAGCAATTTCATACCTTCCCTCCAGGGCACCTGAACGATCCTACCACCCATGGTGACACCCTCGCCGTGTCACCAGTGGCTGAGAAGGCCCAGCAACTTCCACAACTCTGTTGATTCTTGACTCTGCTGACAGCCCCGAGATGGCTCCAGTCGATCTCATCGGGCAGGGGCTTTCCAGAGTAGTGATGAACACCAAGGTAGCCGGGGCCTGCGAGAAACAATTGAAAACTGGTCGACTCGGTCGTCCTTACGCTTGCCAAAGAAATCCCGATAGCGCTTGCGGTAGCCTCTAGTGAGCATTCCAGCGGCGAACTCCTCAGAACTTTGGTCGGCGAATTTGTTAACGGCCAACTTGTAGCTGCGACCTGACGGAAAAAAAATGAAACGTAACAGAGCTAATCGTAACAGACTAACCTTCAGAGTTGATCCTTTGAATGTGTCGGTAGTTTTCTATGAAAATTTCTTCGCGCAAGGCGGCCTCCTGCGGACTCGAATACTCAATGCCATAACTAACCAGCAGAAAACGCCCTCACCAGCGACCGTTATAAAAATGAACTCACTCTTCCTTGAACTTAGCAAACGCACTTGCTAGATCCACATCAGGGACCTCATAAGAGAGCACGGCGCTCCCAAGGAAGGCGATCGAGGGCAACTTCATGTGAACTGTAATACTGTTGCTGCTGTTGTTGACGTTTCTGCGTCAATGAAAAAAGCGCTCGCCCTGGAATAAACGGCGCAGTTTCATGAGCGCGCGCCCGAAAATGTCCACTTCTGGGAATTTATGAAATTAGAGTAATTCCTTTTTTTCAGGGCAATGCCCGCCTTTGCAGGGCAGAGCATTCGCTCGCCTTAACGGTTTCACAGTGTCGTCTGAGGTTGATATCTCAGGGCAAATCTTTGCTAAAGAATTTGCAAGTGCGCAAGATGTTTTTAAGAAGATCAACTATGCGGAAGGTTCTTACGAAGTGATTGCCGAATCGAAAGTTCATCGGCTACATTGAATGTAGTACATTCGGAGATGAACTGGGAATGATTGGGAACGTTTCGAGTAGATCACGACATATTGGATTATCCATCTTCGTACTGCTAAGTCGGCTTTACTGAGTGTACAGGTTGTAGTTTGGTAATGTTTTTCTTTCGACCTTTATTTCTGGGGCTACTCTCGTACAGTTTGCTGAGGAGTGGACAAAGTTCTGAGCATAAAATGCGAATATGCGGGTCAATGGGAATGGAGGTACTGGGGATTGTGATTCTAGTGGCTAGAATCTAGCCAAGGGGTGCTGCAGTTGGGGGCAAGCGGCAGTAGCTAGGGGGCTGTTCGGTCGCACAGTCTGCCTTGGTTCTGTGTGTATACTATATAGCGATATTGATATTCGTGGTTGGCGATGCATACATTGTCTACGTAACGTCGATCAGATAAGCCTGTTTTTCTTGTAGATGGTCGAGAAAAATAAAGTAACAACCTACAATCCTGGTCTCACCAATGGTGAGACACCATGCCCTTGAAACCTGGAAGCACCGCCAAGGATTTCTGACTTCTCACAAAGATGAACTACAATCAATCTGTCGTTGCCTTCTGGGATACCACGACCAGAGTAGGCCTTCTGGCCGGCACAATTGGCGTGTGTATAAGTGCATGTCACACATCTCACATCATGCTCTATCGTGTAGCTGCCGGGGATACGCTTCACTCGGGCAATGTCGCCATATTTTGATAGCTTTTATGCACGAGATGGGTCCGGCCTTCGCCCCCAGGAATATTAATACTGGGGGAGGTACAACTCAACAACCGGTGTTTTCCCTGCAGCGCCCACATATTCATGCTGCATCTCAGCCCTCAGTAGCTTCTACGGCGTCAACCCAACCTGCCGGACGTTCATGGGAGGAACACACTCGCGGTATTGGCCAATCTAATTCGTCTGACTATGATCCTGGGGGGCTACGCCTTGCTCGAGCAGAAGCTGATCAGTGCCGTCAGCCTGACGGCGTCAGGTGGCCGATGTTATGTTCGCGAAGTTTCCTATAGTCACCTAGGCGGGCAGCCCGGTCAAGAATTCCAACCCGCTGCAGAAGCAACACGAATTAACACGGAAATCAGAGCCGAGAAGGTATGGATGGATCACGGGAGAGAAGTCTCAGAGAGGGTCCCAGGTAATGTGCACTCTTTTTCAAGGCCCGCTCCACCGCATCGTATTAGTCATTTGGGAGTGTTGGGTGAGACTGGGGGTTAGCCAACTAGGCAGCAGAGGGCGGTGATAATACCGAACCTCACAATACGCCGTGCATTGGCTCAACACCACAGTCACATTGCCTAGCACGCAGGCACATAGGCATTGCCTATGTGCCGGCGGCCTATGTGCCTATTAGGCAATGTCCCCCATTACTCACCCAACAATCCGGACCACCCACGCATCCGATGCTCTCATCGCCCCTGCCATCATGACACAGTTATGCTCCATCGCCCCATGACACCCGTGCTTAGGGTCCCTAGGTTGTGTGGGGAGGAGACAGCCTTCAAGCAAGCGGAGGTCTCTGGGGACAACATCCCAGATGCGGTTTTTGGTGGTGGATGACAGTGTTGTCTTGAAGTGTTCATCTGGGTCATCATGACACCACTAGTCTGATGACTCGATAGTGATGCTGATACTCACGACGAATCTCGATAGTACCCAGAGACACTCAAACCCCAATACTCCGCGCGCAATTGGGCATTGTACTCTCAGAAACAAATTGCATGATTCCTACATCATCAACGCGCAACGTCTGGGGAACTGAGAATCTCCGCTGCATGAGTCCTGCATTGACGCTTGATCTCAGGCAATCCGTAATCTTCCCATGCGCGAGAACGCCAGTTACCCGCTACACGAACTTGTTCGGCCGGCACATTACGAGCCAGTAAGGCGCAAGCTCCAGAGCGCCTCATGCTATGGCCAGTGATATTCGGAATGTCCCACGATAGAACTTTCGACGGGAATTCAGCCATCAAGAAAGCTCGCAGCTCCCTACCAATAGTTGAACCCTTCAACATAGGGAAGATATGCTCAGTCTCTCCAGTTGTGATGCCACGGCATACATTAACCAAATAGTGTGCAATGCACCACGTCTTCTTGCAGAAGATCCCCTCTGCACAGAGAGTCTGTCGCTCTTCACGACTGGAGGTCTTAGTGTCGTGGAAGGTAACAGATACCAGGAGTCCATCATCGCTCGACTGCCACGTTATATCCTCACGAACTAGAGGTGGGATCTGGTCAAAGCGAAGCATGAAAACGGATGCCACTAGTACCGCTGATCGGATCTGGTCTCGAGAACTGCCCGGCGTGAGGTGCATCTCAGTTAGAGCATGCAAGCATTCTTGTGGCAAGGGGGCAGCCTGCTTCTTCGCTTTTGCTTTGTCTAAGAGGATACGATCCGCACTGGCAAGAGCACGGGAAACTAAGGCATCCCCCTCAGGAGAAAAGGCCCTGCCAGTACGTATCATCATGATGGACCTTATTGCAGAAGTGTACTTCCGTACCGTGCTAGAAATTATCTCCCGACTACTCGTCAGCCCTCTGATAAACGATACCAACTTGTCCGGGGTAACAGGGTTGGAGTGCGATATTTCACCGAACCCCATCTCATACAATCGTATAGGTGTCTGGTACGATGCCATCGTCTTGGGCTTCAGAGATGACTCCAACAGTCGTGTGTTCGCACGGGCTCTTTCTTCTGGGGTGGACATTGCTTCAGCCTCGTAAAAGTCCAAGAGATGAGAAGAAAGCTGTGACTTTCTTGGCATTGAGCAGAACAAGGCTACTGAAAAGAATAGAGGTGTGCTTCAGGTTGTCAGACGCCATCATTATAAACACAACTCCCCAGAGATGAGGTGGAGACTAAGCAGGGTTTAATGAGATCAGGCGTCGCAAGCACACAGGGCTCCCACCGAGGGAAGCAGAGACAGAGCCACGTGGGTCCAGCTAGCTGGGACCTGTTTCACAGTGGATGCGCGTATATTCCGACTTATGTAATCGGCGGCTATATTGGACACGCCTGAAACATGTTGCGATGTAAGGCGGTTGGCCCATGGGGAGATTTGTGAGAGGACTCGCCGCATTGATCTCACTTTTGAAGACCAGCGGGTGATGGTGCTCACGGCCGAGGAATTGTCACAGAAGGAGTGAATCAATACAGTCTGGTCGTCAGGATCAGTGTCTAGTACGGCCTC